TTCTATATTTTTGTAAAATGTCTCTGCCCATAGATGTGCTAGTGCTTAGCCACAAAGGAGTCAATTAGTAGAACTTGTGATCTTACATTATTTGAATTGGCGGGAAAAACATATTTTTTACTAGTGCTATGAATATCAATGGTGTTGTTTTTATTATAAACATTATAATTACTATAATGTTATAAATATTAGTAACAGCAAGATAAGATAACATAAAATATTTTCGGAAATCAAAGAAAAGGGTAAATGGGCGAGACAGGCAGTACTCGTAACAGGGTCATTGGTGACTTGGTACAAGTGTAGCCATCTATGTGTAAATACAATCAAACACATATGTACATGTCATGCCCATCAGCATTGAGTTAATGATTGGAGTGTTTGACAAAAAATGCATTTTCAAAATACTTATTGCTTTTATTTCTGGAAATGATAAAGATGTAATTGGTGTTCTATTTTTCATGAATTTGCTTTATTTATTTACTTTGTTATTGTTTATTTGTTTATTTTTTTATATCATATACATAGTTTGATTTTGTTTACCCTTTATATGCCAGTACAGAGCCTTTTTTTTTATTTTCATTTTAGCTCTGAGAAATAATGATGTAGATAAAAAAGTCCTTATTTAAAAAAGAATTAGCATTTGAAAAAAGAAAAGAAAATATATATATATGCATATATATCTTAAAAAAGGAATCTGTACCTCCATTGAGGTTACAGAAAATATTTTATATGTCATTTATAAAAACATAGTGCTCAAATGTCATTTGCTAGGCTGTACATGGAATCAACTGCTCAAAAAAAATATTAGGAGCACATGAACGATTAATTTTCCTCCCTCCTATGCATTTATCTGAGACATAACTTATTGTTTAGATAATGAGGTTATAAAGATGCTTTGAGCCTAATTAAGCCAGAGCCAAGCAGGTGAACAACTGCTTAGTACACACAACTTATAGCAGGCTCAACTACGCATGAAGTAATTGGATTTCACTGGAATGAGAAACTGTCTAGCCATGACAGAATATCAGCCATCATGAATTGGTTTGATTTTTCAAAATTAAATATTTAGAATTTTCTATATGCAAGAATAACATGATGTGAGTCTCATTTGTCTATCTTTAAAAAAGAAGAAAAAAATATACTTAAAAATAGTCTCCATAATACATGTAATTTGCCTATTTTGTCAATACTAGCATATTTTTTCTCTATTTTCCCCAGCAGTATTCCTGGGATACATCATGTATATTCTAACAATCAAGGCCATTAGCATTACTAGCTAAAATTACCAATTAAGGGCAGTTGATGTTTGATTTTGTCTCTGTGGCCCAGGATCAAGATGATTTATATTATGGAGGGTAAAACTAACATAATGGTAAACCACTTGTACCTAAAAGAAAGAATTGGAATAGAAGTTTTTAGTGTCTGTGACAATGATATGCTAGATTTGTATTTGCAATAAAATGAAGATTCTTCTTCTTTTTAATAAATTAATATTATTTTTTTATTTGTTTATTATTTTTTTGAGTGATATATGTATACTTTCAATATAGTCTGTACCATTAGACCTAAACTTTCGTGGTTTTTCAATAGTGGTCCATGTATATATATATATATATATATATATATATATATATATATATATATATATATATATATATATATATATATATATATATTTTTTTTTTTTTTTTTTTTTTTTTATATATATATATATATATATATATATATATATATATATTATATATATATATATATATATTTTTTTTTTTTTTTTTTTTTTTTTTTTTTTTTTTTTTTTGTGTGCACTTGTTATTATATCTTATTTTGTATGCAACATGAATCCCAAATATCCATTTGTACAACATTTTATTTTTGTTTTACTTACTCTTCTATCCACAAACTAATATTCACCTTCTTATCTTGCCCACAGCTTTCTATTGCCAACAACCAAGTTGTGCGTATGTACTGGTTTGCACGCATGTACTCTTTGCGTGTTCTCAACCTTCCCAACAACTGCATTGTCCAAATTGAGGGTATGCGGGAACTGATCCATCTTGTACACCTGAATTTGGCTGGAAATAAGCTAAAGGTGAGGGGCTGTTCTGTAAAATAAATGTGTCTTTCTTTTCCCCAGGTGTAGTCATTACTTTTTCCATACAAAATGGTTATTTTATATTGTGTTATGCTCCAAATATTGTAGATATGATTTATAAAATCACGATGTTATATTTTGCATACCTACCATGGTATACTCCCATTTGTTATATCTGATATTTAATCATTTTGCCTAGGTATTTTTATTTGCATCTTTTAAGTCCATGATGTTTGTTACATGCCAATATTTATTTCATTTACATCAATATTTTTAACTTACTTGATAGTCTTCCTATAGGTGTAACATGAATTGATTATATCTGGATGCTTTTGTAACCTGTAAAATGCACAATATATTTTCTTTATGACAAGAGGTATGAGATATACATGCAGAACATAATGCAGTGAGAAAAATTGTGAAATATTTTCTCCTGTTCAGCCTACTTAGAGGCTGAAGATACTGTACCTTGAGCTCATAACTCTGAATGCTACAGCCAAAACTATGTATTACAATTCTGTCATTAATTTCTGTTTTTTTTTTAACCTATTACTGCCAGGATGCCATGTATGTGAATGTCATGACCACTGTGATTTTAGTTTATTACAGTGAATAGAGTCAGTTACTAGTCCTGTTTACCTTCCATGTTTTCTTTTTTCACTGAGTTCTTATTTCTTCTTATTATCATTTTTATTGCTTTTAGTATTTTAACCCATTTGCGCCGGGTAAAAATCAACAAAAAATGGGGAAAATGCTGTGCTCATTTT